CCGGGAGCCTGCAGCTGGCCAGACTGGTTCCTGCAGAAGCCATCAGCCTGATGCCCAGGGCCCCTGCGCCCTCTGCGTGGGCGACTCAGCTGACACAGACAGGAGCTGCCTGACGATGGAGGACGGGCAGTCACCAGCCTCCCAGGACATCGCAAAGGCAGGTACGTAGCACCGCTGCCCGGCTTTGTCATTGCCGGGGCCAGGGGCGGGGACCAGGGCCGCGACTTCCTGGAGTTCCCCGGGGGGGGGGGGGGGGGGCCTCCAGGCCTCTGGGCCCCGACTCCCGAACCCCGGGCCATCCTGCTCTCCAGCCTGGCAAACCTGTTCTCCCTCTAGTCCTCCCGGCCCGAGTGCCACCAGGTGTGTCTCTCGATGACGCTGCCGCTGCCGGCTTCCTCCTCACGGAGGTCAGCTTCCTTCTCCCTCCCACGGTTCCCTCCGCCAGCCACCCCTGGTCCAAGCCACCGCGGCCGGTTGGGGGCCAGACCCCCGGGACCCCTGGAGGGGCTCGCAACCCCATTCAGCCTCATGACAGCCCCGTGGTTTCCCGCCTACCAGTCAGGACTGGCCAGGCGGTGCCCGGCAACAAGCAGCCCCGTCGACCTCAGTGGCTCCGGATTGTGCAGGGTCCTGTCCTGCTCCGCTCCGCGGCCACGGCACAGCTGGCCGGGGGCTCTCTGGGGCCCAGGCCCCGGTATTGACCTGCCTCCGTCTCGGACGGCCCACACCTGGGGTAGCAGCTCAGGGAGAGCTGTGAGAGTCCCGTTTTCAGAGCAGCACAGATTCTCGCGCTGGGGACCAAAAAGGGGTTCTGGGGGAAGTCACCCCACTCGGTGACCTGATCATAAATCCCCAACGGGGGCCCTGGCTGGTGTGGCTCAGTGGATAGAGCGTGGGCCTGTGGACCGAAGGGTTCCGGGTTTGATTCAGGTGAAGGGCACAGGCCCAGGGTGCAGGCTCGATCCCCAGTGGGGGCCGTGCCGGAGGCAGCCGATCCACGGTTCTCTCTCATCATGGATGTCTCTCTCTCTCCCTCTCCTTCCTCTCTGAAATCAATAAAAATGTATTAAAAAAAAAAAAAAGGGAGACGAGGAAGGTGCCCAAGGACTCACACCTGGTGACGGAGGCCAGGCATGCGGATGGCGGCTGTGCTGGGTGTGGCCTCACGGAGCCGAGCTCCGCCCGGTGACACAGGGCAGAGGGTTGTCCCTCCGTCTCAGGGGACGGGAATCTTCGCCCCAACACTTGCTCCCTCGCCCGGAGGCTCCCCACGACCCCCGGGGAGGCCGTGCCATCGGCCAGGACACGGACCAGGAGCCACCGGGGTCATCGCGCCCCACTCCCCGCCTGTTTTCTCCCCTGAAATGTGTGTGTTGGGGTGCAGGGAGGCCAAAGTCTAGGGGCTCTGCATGCAATGGAGCATAAGTTATCAGCTTACGATACACCTTCTTTTTTAAAATATATTTTTATTGATTTCAGAGAGGAAGGGAGAGGGAGAGAAGAACATCCATGATGAGAGAGAACCATGGATCGGCTGCCTCCTGCACGCCCCACACTGGGGATCAAGCCCACACCCCGGGCCTGTGCCCTGACCAGGAATCGAACCGTGACCTCCTGGTTCAGAGGTCAACGCTCACCCACGGAACCATGCCAGCCAGGCTAAAATACACCTTTATAACTATGTTTATGTCCGTCCCAAAGTAACCACACGGAAAAATACAGTTCCACACACAGAGAAAGAAATCAAGGCATATTCACATTTTAAAAACCAATGAACCCGCCCCGGCCAGTATGGCTCCGTTGGTTGAGTGTCATCCCCTGCACCCAGACGGAGCCGGTTTGGTTCCCAGTCAGGGCACATGCCCCTCGGTTCAAATCCCAGCTCCACCTGCTGGAGCCCTGTGGCCTGGGCTGGCTGCCCCCCACCTTTGGCCTCTTTCTGCTTCCCAGCAGAAACCGAGTTGGCACCAGCCTGAGGCCTTTGCTCTAGATGTTACCTCTGCCTGAAACACCCTCCGAGGCCATCCACCCGTCGGCTCCTCCCAGCACGCAGGTCTTAGCCCAAACATCACCTCCTCCGAGAAGCCCTCCAAGACTACCCCGTCTCAGGCACCCACGACTCACTTTGACCCCAGTCGTTGCCCTAGTCACCAGTTGCGGCCTCCCGTTTTACGGATGGTGGTGCTGACTCGTTCGCCCCTGGCTTCTACCTCTGGAATGAGAGGTCATGACCTTCTGCTGGGTGGGCAGTGCAGGTCCCAGAGCCGGCCTGCCCTGGCCTCCGCGGTGCCACCTCCGAGTCAGCACGTCCAGGCCCTTCCCTTCACCGGTTTTTGCAACGCCCTGGCCATTGATAACAGGTGCGCACGCCGCCGTCAAATCCGGTTTCGCCTTCAGTGCCCCGTTAACATGCGTGCCAGGCGGAAGAACAGATGCTGGGGGTTGAACTCTGACCCCGCGTCAACTTTCAGACACATCCTGATTTCACAAGGAAAGGTGGCCACAGTGGCCTGGCCGGCGTGGCGCAGGGGTTGAGCGTTGACCTATGAACCAGGAGGCCGCAGTTCTATTCCCGGTCGGGGCACAGGCCCGGGTTGCAGACTCGATCCCCAGTGGGGGGCGTGCAGGAGGCAGCTGATGGATGATTCTCTCTTATTGATGTTTCTCTCTCTCTCCCTCTCCCTTCCTCTCTGAAATCAGTAACTTTTCTATTTTTTAAAGACGATAAGGTCATTACACCAGCAAGGCCCGCCCGCACCTGCAGCCCAGGTGCGCTCAGGCCGCAGGTGCAGCTGACCGGGGGCAGCAACCGCCTGGCTCCTCACATCCCCAGGGCCCTGGGAGGTGCAAAGGGAAGGCTCAGAGACGGGCAGCGACTTGCTTGGCAACACACAGCAATGCAGGTGGGAACGGACAAAAGGGAGCCGGGGGCTGAGCCAGTTTGGCTCAGTGGATAGAGTGTCAGCCCATGGAGCGAAGGGTCCCCGGTTCGATTCCGGTCAAGGGCATGTACCTTGCTTGCAGGCTCAATCCCACCCCGGCTCTGGGCGGGGCACACGCGGGAGGCAGCCAATCGACGTGGCTCTTACAGGGATGTTTCTCTCTGTCTCTCCCCCTCCCTGCCACTCTCTCTAAAAACATCAATGGGAAAATATCCTCGGGTGAGGATTAACACAAATATAAATAAGATAAAAGGAGCCTGAGAGGGGGCAGGAGGGGGTTGGGTGGGCTGGGCTGGGCTCCCTAAGGGCATGGGTGCTGCCAGGTGACCGCCAATTGCGTCAGGGTACGCTGCCGTGGCCTGGGGCGCCCGGGCCGTCCTGGGTGACGCAACCCTGGCAGACGGCCACTCACCCACGGAGACGAGGGCCGGCCCGGAGCCCCAGTTCCACAGGAGGGTCCAGGGCAACTCCGGCTGCGGCTGCCCACACAGACCCACAGGAACTCCGTTGCTTCTGGAACCTTCACGCCCCTGGTTCCCAGATATATAAAAAAAAAATTTTTTTAAATTGATTTCGGAGAGGAAGGGAGAGGGAGAGAGAGAAACATCGATGATGAGAGAGAATCACGGATCGGCTGCCTCCTGCACGCCCCCCACTGGGGATCAAGCCCGCAACCAGGGCCTGTGCCCTTGACTGGAATCGAACCCGGGACCCTTCGGTTCACAGGCCGGTGCTCTATCCACTGAGCCACACTGGCCAGGGCTGGGCTGAAGAGATTTAATGTCCAGGGGCCACACGGAGCTCACATCCCAGGATCCCAGCCCGGCACTCGGGCTGCTCACCCACGTCTGGGACAGTCCTGGCTCCCTTCACCGTGTCCTGGTCAGCGGCCACGGGAAGGGCCACGTGCAGGAGGGAGCCCGGCTGGAAGCCCGGCCACAGGGACGGGGTCCTCCCAGGAAACAGCTGCCGGCACTGACCTCGGGCCCCAGCCTCCAGGACGAGGTCCGTCTGTCTGAACCCCGAGTCTGCAGTGTTTGTTAGGGTCCCCTGCACGGAGACCAGGGCCTCGGTTTCCCCGCCCTGAGGGCGTCCCGGTGACACGTTCTGTAAATGTGAGCCCACACCCACAGGGACACGTGTGTCTGCCCACAGGCCCAGTCCCGCCGAGGTCAGCCAGCACCTGGGCCCGGCCTGTGTCCGTGGGCCTCCCCGTGACCTCGCCTGGAGTCCTCGCCCTCCCTGAGGCGAGCGTCCCCTGGGGTCCTTCCGGGGGGCTCTCCGGGTCTGTCCCCAGGGCTGCAGAGCCCCCCCAGAGGCCCCCAGCTTCTCCAAGTAGAGCCAGCACAGCCAGGGATACAGCAGACTTTGGCTGACGCCCGGCCGGGGTGGCACAGTGGTTGAGCGTCGACCTCTGAACCAGGAGGTCACGGTTCGATTCCCGGTTGGAGCACCTGTCGGGGTTGCGGGCTTGATCCCCAGTGGGGGGCGTGCAGGAGGCAGCCGGTCCGTGATTCTCTCTCCCCCTTCCTCTCTGAAATCAATAAAAGTATATTTTAAAAATATATATACGTGTATGTAAAAAGACGGGGGGCGGGGGAGCCGAGAATTCCGCGTGCTCGTTCGGGGGCCCGGGCGGAAACAGCCAGGTCGTCGATAACTCGTCCCTCCCGACCCAGCACCCCCGGGGCGGTCACCGCTGAGCCGGCCGCGCACGCTTCACGGGAGGCAGAACCGGTGGGAACGTTTTACCGTGTTCGGCTTTAACACAGGCGAGGCCACCCCCCACCAGGAGAGCCCAGCTTCTCCCAGACCTGGTCCTGGAACCAGAAAAAATATATTTGAAAAAAAGGACCATTTGAGCCCCTCCCTCAGGCCGGTGGTGAAATTCAGTGATAACTTCCTGGGACCAGGGTGACCTCAATGCCCTTCAGCATCTCCAGGCCCTGGGGGCTGGCCCTGCCCTCTCTAGGGGCTGCGGTTCTCGGTTGGCTAGGGGTGGGGGTGGGGGTGGGGGTAAGCCACTAGACCCAGCCACACCCACCAGGACCGTCTCGGGGGGGCCCCCCCTCCTGTGAGACCACCCCCTCCCTGTTCCTGCTCAGGTGGCCTTCCCTGAGCCCCCAAAGCAGCTGACTTCACACTGTGTGTGGGGGGGGCTCCTGCCGTGAACCAGCCCCCCGCACGTTCCCCCTGAGCCCCCCTGGCAGCCTCTTGCTCCTCGGCGACTGGCCTCTTCCTAACAGAATCCCGATGGCTCCAGGTGTGAGGAGGCCCCTCCCGGCCCAGGAACGGGGTGAAGGGCTCCCTGCCCTGTGGGCAGCAGGCGCGGTTGGCACGGTTGGCAGCCACGCCCAGGGGCCTCCCAAGACCAACAGGAGGCAGCATCTCGTTCTGCACGTCCCACACGCACGGGCAAGTCCTCCATCCACCGGCTTCATCACACCTGAGACCCGACGGCCTGAGCTGCCGGCAGGAGGCCCGTTTCCTGGCCGGCCTCCACTGGCCCATCTGTGAAATGGGTGTGATCGCTCCGGGACACGGAGTCATCCAGGAAGTGCTGGGCAGAACGGAGCTCGTGACCCCGAGGGGAGGGTGTGACCCCCACGCAGACCTTCCTGGAAGCCCCTCCATCTGAGGGCAGGGGGCCCGGGTCCAGGCCTCCAGGACGGCCCCCGCTGCAGCCCCGTCTGAAGGGCATCAGGGCGCCGGGCCGGAGCGGCCAGGAAGCAGCGAGGTCGTGTCTGTCTGTCGGCGTCACAGGGAGTCCAGCGGGGGCCCCAGCACGGGGGAGCTCGTCTGAGCATTGGGGGCTGCCCTCTGGGACAGGTGGACAGAAGGACAGAAGCACCAGGGACCAGGGGGCAGTGTGGACGCGCTGGGGGTGGTGAAGCTGTGGGCTCTGCTCTCAGGCCGGAGGGAGGCCTGGCCGGCCCATCAGTGGAGCCTCCGCGGCAGGAAGAACGGCATCTCCCGTCCCCCGTCCCCACCCGGCGGCCGGCCGTGACGGCGTCTCCTGGACGGACTCCTCCCAGCAGGCAGTGGGGCTGGCGGCGGAGGCTGCAAAGCAGGGGCCGGAGCTCCTGTGTCCACGCGTCAGTGCTGACGGCCAGGGGCCGCCCCTCCGTCCGGGAGGCTGACCTGGGCTCTGCTCAGGGCTGCCAGGCCGGGTCCCGGGGCTCCTGCTTCGGGTGCTGGAGGCTGCAGCATCATCCCTGCCCCCGTGGCCCTGGGCCGTGACCGTCCGTCTGTCTGTCCTCTGGCGGCGCCTCTCAGAGCGCCAGGGCCCGGGCCCCTCGCCGCAGGAGGCCCAGCGGGGGCAGCAGCGCGGTGGCCAGCAGGGAGCCCGCGGGCCCGGGCGGGCGGGCGGCCAGGGAGCTGCAGGCGCACACCTGGTAGCCGTCCTCCGCGTGGCTGCGGTCGTGCTGGCCGGGCGGGGCGTGGGCCCCCGCCTCTCCCTCCGCGCCCCCGCCCTCGGGGTCGGCCTGTGGGTCTCTGCAGACCAGCCAGTCCCGGGCCGTGGACTGCGGGTAGCCGGGCGCCACGGCCAGCTCGCTGTCCGGCACCTTCCAGTACTCCCTGCCGCGGAAGAAGTAGGCGGCCCCTGGGGGGAGAGGGAGGCGCTGAGCTCCTGGCTGCTCAGGGTGTCGGGATGCAGGCCGGACAGCGGGGCCGGGGCCGGGGCAGGGACAGCGGCAGGGGCAGGGCTGCGAGGCCACAGGGAGGTGGGATGACCTCGGGATCAGGCCAGCCCCTGGGCGGCAGCCTCACAGGCCCCAGGACGCGCCAGGGGCTGGGGCCAATCGGGGGATGGATGAGACGCCTGGTTTCTACGGGACATTGTGCTGCCAGGTCAGGGGGGGACGAGGGGGCAGGACAGGCACCGGCCGGCCACCTCGCGGCGGGTGAGGGGCCCCTGGGGGGTCAGCAGCGCCCCAGCCCCCTTCTCGATCCCGGGCTGCACCCGCCCGCGCCCCCCGGCTCACCGTCGGACCAGCGCATGGCATCGTCCAGCGTGCTGGGGACGCCCCTCCACGGGGGGCTGCGGGCCGGGTGGCCGGGGTCCATGCGCCGAGTGAGCTCATTGTAGCGCCAGTACAGCTGGTCCTTAAAGAAATAAGTCTTGTCACTGTGGGCCCAGGAGAAGGCAGCGTCGACGCCGCCCGGCGGGAGGCCGAAGTCCGAGACGGGCCGGGGGAAGCCTTCCTCCACGTGCGTGTCCTGGAACACCCAGTATCTGTCTCCTGGGGAGAGAGGGCGGGGGGCTCAGCTCACCGAAGGCGGGGCTCCCGCCCCAGCTGCCCCCCCGGCACTGGCGACCGCCCCCCCCCCAGTGCCCACCAGTGCTCATGAGTGTTTGCTGAGCACCTACTACGGGCCCACGCCCCTGCCCTGTGCCGGACACCTGCCCCTGCCGGACACCTGCCCCTGCCTCGCACCTGCCCCTGCCTCGCACCTGCCCCTGCCTTGCACCTGTTTGTGCTTCACACCTGCCCCTGCCTCGCACCTGCCCCTGCCTGGCACCTGGCTCTGCCTCACACCTGTTTGTGCCTCACACATGCCCCTGCCCCACACCTGCCCCTGCCTCACACCTGCCCCTGCCTGGCACCTGCCCCTGCCTGGCACCTGGCTCTGCCTCACACCTGTTTGTGCCTCACACTTGCCCCTGCCCCACACCTGCCCCTGCCTCACACCTGCCCCTGCCTGGCACCTGCCCCTGCCTGGCACCTGCCTCTGCCTCACACCTGTTTGTGCCTCACACCTGCCCCTGCCTCACACCTGCCCCTGCCTGGCACCTGCCCCTGCCTGGCACCTGCCTCTGCCTCACACCTGTTTGTGCCTCACACCTGTTTGTACCTCACACTTGCCCCTGCCTCGCACCTGCCCCTGCCTCACACCTGCCCCTGCCCAACACCTGTTTGTGCCTCACACCTGCCCCTGCCCAACACCTGTTTGGGCCGGCACAGGGTCCTTCCACTTGGCAGCAGCCCAAGTGCCAGTTCTGAGGAGGCAGCCACGTTACAGGCTGAGTCCCAGCCCCGAGAGGCCCTCGATCTGCTCTGCCTCCTCGGCTCCCGCGAGGAGGGGGCTGGGAGCAGCTGAGTGTGGAGACCGGACAGGCTGCCGGTCGGGGTCCAGGCGGGCGTGCACGTGCACCCATCGGACGTTGGCACAAGCAGACGCCGCGCCCCCCGCCCTCCGCCCGCCCCCCCGGGCTGCGCGTCCCCGGGTTACACTGCGGAAGGCGGTCCAGGAGGCTCGGGCGCACCCTGGACTCCGTCTGCCCAGAAGGCGGGTGGGAACGTGAGGCCGAGGGGGGTGGGGCACGGCACACCCTTCCCTGGGGGGGCAGTCACCAAGCCTGCTGTTGGCGGGAAGAGCAGCAACACACTCAGAAACGCTTTGCTGCCCTAGCCGGTGTGGCTCAGTGGATACAGCGTCGGCCTGTGGACTGAGGGGTCCCAGGTTCGATTCCGGTCAAGGGCACAGGCCCAGGCTGCAGGCTCGATCCCCAGTGGGGAGCGTGCAGGAGGCAGCCGAACACTGATTCTCTCTCGTCATTGATGTCTCTCTCCCTCTCCCTCTCCCTTCTTCTCTGAAACCAATAAAAATATTTTAAAAAAGAAACGCTCTGCCGGACGGAGCCCTGGGCGAGGTTTCACTGGAGGAGACGCAAACGGCTTGAAAAGAGGCTCAGCCTCCGTGATCGTGAGAAACGCACAGCAAAGCCACAGGCCGGCCGTGCGGCCCAGCGGGTTGGGCAGCACAGGCCACGGTTCCATTCGGGGTCAGGGCCCAGGCCCAGGCGCGGCTCCGTCCCTGGTCGGGGGTGGGGGTGCAGGAGGCAGCCAATCAGTGCTTCTCTATCACACTGATGTTTCTTTCTCTCTCCCTCTCCCTTCCTCTCTCTAAAAATCAATGTTAAAAAAGCCGGCTGACCAGGAGGTCAGGGTTCGATTCCCGGTCAGGGCACAGGCCCGGGTGGGGGCTCCATCCCCAGTGGGGGGCGTGCAGGAGGCAGCTGAGCAGTGATTCTCTCTCATCATGGATGTTTCTCGCCCTCTCTCTGAAATCAACAAAAATATATGTAAAAATTTTTTAATCAATTAAGAAAATCTTGTAAAAGAAAATCCTTTGCAGAGACTGGAAACGGCTGAAGTGCCTGTGAGCGGGGGAGGAGGTGAAGGAGGTGACGGTTCCGCACAGACACGGGGTCAGGGCTGTGAGGCCGGTGGGGGGGGGAGCGGGGGGCACAGCTCAGGCCCCTGCCTGACAGTTCAGAGCTGGAGCTGCGGGTGCTCGTGGGGAACCCCCAGTTTTCACAGGTTGAGGAAGAATCGAGTCCAGAAGGTGCTGCTATGACTGTGACCAACCCTGGGCCCCACACACCACACGGAGGCCTGGCTGTCACCCCAAAACACAGCAGCCTCTGCACACACACACTGCGTGTGACGGAGGAAGGGCCACAGCCTCAGGCACCTGCTACAGGCCCATCCTGCCTTCTCCCCAAACTGACAGCGTGCCCCCCAGGAGCAGGTGTGGGGGGTGCACCTATCATCCCCGACCGACACCAGGGCCTGGCCATGGTCCGCACGCACTTCCGACCCCTGCGTCCTCGCCCCTCTCCTGGCTCCAGCCTCGTCCCCTCTCCGCACTCGGCTGGACTGTTCCTGCCCCAGGACCTTTGCACGGCTGTTCCCTCTGCTTGGAACACTGTTCCCCCAGGTCAACCTGGAACGAACTTCCTCATCCCTTGTGGCTGCTCTTCCTGGGCCCGCCCTGCCCCCCCAGCCCCCCGACTCTGTACCTGCAGCGCCTTCCAACGCAGGGTACAGAGCCGGTGCTCAGCAAACACACCGGCAGGCACACACACGCACGGCTGGTCTCCGCTCTGTGCCCGGAGCAAACCACAGGCTGCCCCCCCCCCCCCCCCGTGCCATGCGAGCTCGGGGTGGGGTGCGGGCAGCCGGGGGGCGCCCACCTCTGAAGAAGACGATCTTGTGGTCGATGGTGCGCTCATACACGGCGTCCACGCCGTCCAGGTGCGGCGGGAGGCCCCGCCAGAAGCGGTGCATCTGCGCCGGCTGCAGCGACACCAGGTGCCGGTCCCGGTTCAGCCGCCAGAAGTACCTGCCTGCGGGGACAGCGGCACAGCTGCGGGGGCCGGCCCAGCCCGGGGCCCCCCGACTCCCGCCCTGGCGCTGGGCTCCGCGGGGGCTACCTTTGAAGAAGAATGCCTCGCCGCGGATCTGCGCCACCGCGTCGAAGTGGGCGCTGCACCTGTGAGGCACGTCCTTCCCGGGCCTGCGGACAGAGAGAGCCGTGGGCGGGCGCCCCCTCCCGCGCCCCCGAGGGAGCCCCAGGCCACGGCTGAGCTCTGGGACCCGCAGCAGTTGCATCAAGAGAGAAAAGCAGCCGGGCCGGCGGGGCTCAGTGGTTGGGCATCGACCTATGAACCTGGAGGTCGCAGTTCATTGCCCTGACCGGGTTGTGGGCTCGATCCCCAGCGGGCGGCCTGCAGGAGGCAGCCGGTCAGTGACTCTCATCATCGATGCCTCGCTCAAGGCTCAGCACACAGAACTGTGCTTTTCTCGGAAGGGCCTGGGGTTCAGGGCGCCCAGTCACTACAGGGGGTGGGGGGCGCCCGCAGGGGAGGCGGACTCACACGTGCGGGGTGCTGGGACGGTGGTCAGGGGGCTCCGGCAGGAGGGGGGTCTCCTCAGGCTCGGCCGTGTCCAGCTGTGCCGTGGGGGACACGGACTCCCGCACGCCTGTGGAGACAGGGCGGCCGCATGGAACCCCGTGCGCCCCCCTCCCTCAAGCCCCAGCCCGCTTCCCGGAACCCCGGGTGGCCCCAAGGCCGCAGGGCAGACGGGCCCCGGAGTCAGCACCGGCTACGGCTTGAGCCGGACAGGCCCGCGCACGGGGCAGGGACGCCCGTGGCTGCACTGCATTGTGGGTGTGTCCACGTCGGATTGTGCACTTTATTTATTTATTTAATATATTTTATTGATTTTTTACAGAGAGGAAGGGAGAGAGAGAGAGTCAGAAACATCAATGAGAGAGAAACACCGATCAGCCGCCTCCAGCACAGCTCCTACTGGGGATGTGCCCGCAACCCAGGCACATGCCCCCGACCGGAATCGAACCTGGGACCCTTCAGTCCGCAGGCCGACGCTCTATCCACTGAGCCACACCAGTCTCGGCCGGATTGTGCACCTTAAAGTGGTGACTGTGCCCGGCCGGTGAGGCTCAGTGGGTGAGCATCGACCTATGACCCAGGAGGTCACGGTTCGATTCCCGGTCGGGGCACAGGCCCGGGTTGCGGGCTCCATCCCGTGTGGGGCTGCAGGAGGCAGCCGACCCATGTCTCTCTCTCTCTCTCTCCCTCTATTAAAAAAGAAAAGTTTAACGGTGAATTTTACAATAAAATAACGCAGATGCCAGAGGGCGGTGGGTGCGGGGAGAACACCAGGGAGGTGGCCTGGGGGGCGAACAGGGATTTCACCGCAGCCTGGCCTCCTTCCGCTGCACTTCCCAGGCGTCCCCAGCAGAGGGCGCCTTGCGGCCGGCTCTGGGCTGGCCTGGCTGTGGCTCCTCCCCAGGTGGTCACTGGGCCTCAGCTGCCCCCCCACTCCACACCGAGTGCTGTGCCCGCCCGGCACCATCACGCCAGCGGTCACACCTGAGACCACCTGGGGCCTGGACGCGGAATCCTGCCCAGGCTCTGAGCTCCGGGGTGAGTCTGGGATGGCGTCCGCTTGTTCCTCACGCGTACGCGCCAGGCAGGTGCTAGAACTCCTGCGGGCTCTGCACCCAGGGGGTCCCCAGCCTCTGTCCCCGTCCTCAGGGCGCCCGCGCTGGCTCTGGGAGGGGGCACTCACCGTACAGCTGCCAGGCGCGCACCCGGTCCGCGTAGGGGAGCCCGTAGTGCAGCGGGTCGCCCACCGGGCCCTGGTAGTAGGGCTGCATGATGGACTGCGTGGCCGCCACGTGGCTCAGCCCGATGGCGTGGCCAAACTCGTGCACGGCCACCGCGAACAGGTCCATGCCGTGGGCGTCTGGGGACACGGGGAAGAGTGAGCCACGGGGGACGGCGAGCCATGGACGTGGCCGCAGGGATGGGGAGGCGCGTGCCTATGGGCCGGGTATTGGGGGTTGACTTTCTGGGCCCCAGGGTGCAGGGACCGGCGTAGGACTCCTGCGCCCCACGGGCCAGGACCCTCGTCAGGCCTGTGTGTGGAGGAACCCCACGCAGCCTCTCCTCCCCACCTGCACCCACACCTCCTGGGAGATGAGACCAGGCGAGGACACGGAGCCCCAGGCCCGCACACCCAGCCCAGCCCGGCTGCCTGGTGGGGTCTCTGCCCGCGATGGGGGTGAGTCGCCCTGAACTGGAACTGCCCAGCTGTTCCCGTGCCCGGGGTCTGGACGCTTCACAGGGTCGGTGTGGCTTCCTGCAACCTCCAGGGTCCGTGGGGGCCCCCGGGTGATGTGGGGTCCCCGGGGCTCAGCCCACGCACGCACCTGAGGACCGGAAGGTCCAGGCCTCGTCGTCGTCGAAGTGGGCGTCCCCCGCGGTGTGGTGGTCGCCGGGGAGGAAGGCGTGGGCCACGGTGCCGCCGGGGCCGTCGAAGGGGTAGCGGTCGTTGTGGTCGGCCGTGGAGAAGTCGATCTGGATGTCGGCCGCGCTGCCCGCCACCTCGTGGAAGTTCAGGGGCGTGATGTCGCCCCAGACCTTGAGGGCGTAGTGCATGAGCGCCCGCACCGTGTCGCGGCCCAGGGGCGAGTCCCGCGGGAACGTGCGGACCCTGGGGCGGGCGGGGTCAGAGCCAGGGGTCAGAGCCAGGGGTGGGGTCACGGGGACAGGCCGCGCCCCCACCAGGCTGCAGCGCGCTCCCAGGGACGCCCCGTCTCGGGGGTGGGTGTTGGGACCCTATTTGGAAATCGAGTTTGATGGTAGGAGTGGCTCCGTGGTTGAGCGTGGACCCACGAACCAGGAAGTACAGTTGGGCACATGCCCGGGTTGTGGGCTTGATCCCCAGTGCGGGGCGTGCAGGAGGCAGCCGACCCGTGATTCTCTCTCACCATGGATGTTTCTCTCTCTCTCTCTCTCTCTCTCTCTCTTCCTCCCTCCCTCCCTCTCCCGTTCTCTCTGAAATCAACAAGAATATATTTTACAAAATAAAGGTAGGGATTAAGACGGGACCATCCTGGACGTCACCCGCTAAATCCATGGAGAGCGTCCCCGAGGAGAAAGGACAGAGAGGACGGGGCGGGGGGCCTCTGAGGACGGGGCAGGGCCGGCAGTGACGGGCGGTGGACTCCCGCTCAGGGTCTGGGAGGAGCCAGCCCTGTGACCCCGGATCTCCGACTTCTGGCCCCAGAACCGAGGACGAGCCCGCACGGCTGGAGCCCCGAGGGGCGGGTGCTCAGCAGGCCCCCAGCACCAGGGCCGGGGCAGGCAGGGGAGCCGTGCACCCACCTCCACGAAAGGTTCCTCTTGCTCCACTTGGTCGGGGCCGGAGCCTGGCGCCTCCTCCGAGCCGGGGCCGGGAGGTCGGGCAGGGAGCAGCGCGGGGTTCTCATCCTCGCCCGGGTGGCCACGTCTGCAGGGGGGAGGGGTGCAGGGTCAGGAGCCGGCCCAGCTCAGCCCTGCCCGGTCCCCACAGCACATCTGGTGGGGACGGGGTGACTAACTCAGGGCCAGCCCTGACGAGGGTCTTTACAAAATTGGAATTGGGCCCGGCCAGCGGGGCTCAGGGGATGTGAACCAGGAGGTCAGGGTTCGATTCCCCGTCAGGGCACAGGCCCGCATTACGGGCTCCGTCCCCAGTGGGGGGCGTGCAGGAGGCAGCCGGTCCATGATCCTCTCTCATCATGGATGTTTCTCTCTCTCTCCCTCTCCCTTCCTCTCTGAAATAAAAATATTTTTTAAAAAGTGGGGTACTCGCTAACCCCCCACCCCCAGATTTCTGGTTCCTCTTGGAAAGCTGGGCATTTGGGCAACACCGGCTGGTACCCCACAGGCAGGAATCAGGCAGAGAGTGTGGAGCCGGGTCTGCGTGTGGCTGTGCCCACTCTTGGGGGGAGGTGAGGGTGACAGAGGGGCTCCCACGTGGGTCCCTAACCCCACCCCCCGGCAGGCGGGGGGCACAGGGAGGAGGGAGTGGGGGACACCAGGCCCCCAGCTCGGGCTCGGACTGACCCAGGACCCCGGTGGCCTCCAGGCCCGCGAAGCGCTGCATGGCGGCCACGGCCTTGCTCAGCTCCTCTTGCGTCTGCAGCTGCCCGGTGGCGGGGTCCGCGGGGGGCAGGTACCCGAACTTGCTCAGCCACTCCTGGGGCAGAGAGCGAGGGAGGGGTGGGTGAGGGCCCCGGGTGGGGTGGGGGCTCCCCGTCTCGCCAGCCCCATCAACACCAGCCCAGCCCAGCAGCCCCCCTTTACCCACAAGGCCCCTCTGGCCCCTCCGTCAGCTCCGCACAGGCAGGGGGAGCTGTGTCCCCACACACTCCTGCCCCTGGGAGTCCACCACCTGCCCCCCTCCCTCCCCAGGAGGCGAAGTGCAGGCGGTGGGGGGCGCCTAAGACAATCACATTTTAAAGTCATGAGCCCTGGCTGGGTGCTCAGTGGTTAGAGCATCGGCCCTGGGACCGAAGGGCTGTGGGTTCGATTCCGGTCGAGGGCGTGTACCTAGCTGCAGGCTCAACCCCAGCCTGGTCAGGGCCCATGGGGCAGGCAACCCATCGATGCGTCTCTCTCTGTCTCTCCCCCTCCCTTCCACTCTCTCTAAAGATCAATGGGAAAAATATATCGGGTGAGGATGAACAAAAATAAATAAAATGAATTAAAAAGGGCTGTCAAAGGAGCCAGATTCAGGGCCTGCGTGAAGGGGCAGGGGGGTCGGGGGGGCGGACTGGGGGGGCAGCCGCCTGCACCGAGGTCTGCAGCCCACACGGAGCCCGCTCTGGTCCTGAGCAGATCGGAGGGGGGAGGGGGGTCTGCACAGAACACGGACCCCCCCCGCCCCCCATGAGAAGCTGGGGAGGGACAGTCAGCCCCGCGGAGCAGGGAGGGGGCCGCTGGGACGGGGCGTCTAAAACAGCCCCCCACCCTGCGCGCCCACCCTGCGCCCCCACTGCGCGCGCCCTCCTTGCAGCGCATCCCAGTCCGGGGGACGCAGGAAGGTGCCCGCGGCCGGGGTTTCTCTCCTCGCAGTTAACACACTTGAAACGTCAGAGGAGGCCCGGGGAGGGGGGGGCTGACCGGGAGGCGGGAGCCGCCCCCAAGCTCTGTGCCTGCGGGGGCGACGGTGCCCAACCCCGCGGTCCGGAGCCAAGGCCGCCCCGCCCCCAGGAGGGCCCCGCCCCCAGACAGGACCACGCCCCCACAGGCCCCGCCCCCGACACCTAGGAGCCCGCGAGGTTGGGTTGGTCGGCGGGTCACGTCGTCTCATGGGGGGGGCGCCCCCTCCCGTGCACCCACCCGATCTCCCCGCCCGGTCGCCAAGGCACCCACACGCCCGTCTCCAGGGCAACAGGCTGCACCGGGGAGGGTGGCAGAACCTTCCAGAAGGCGGAGGGGGCAGGGCCCTTGGTGGCCAACCCCGTGCCTCCCGCACCCCCAGGGCCTCGGGGACGCTCCACGGCCCCTCCCCCGCCGAACAGGTGGACAGACGGGGACACTGAGGCCGGGCAGGGGCGCCCTGACCGCTCCCCCAGACGCGGCCCCCAGCCTTCCCGCGCCCCGGGTTTGTATTTGTCACCGCCGCGCGCCCCCTCAACTCCCAGTGACGTCAGTCCATTTCTGGGGGTGCAGCCGCCACCCCAGAGGCGCTTGGGACCCCTCACCGCGCCCGCCCGCCCGGGGCCCTCGGGCCAGGCACCTGCCGGGCCTGTTTCACCGCTGGGGCTGCTGGGAAACGAGAAGCGCCGCTGGACGCCCTACTGTGCGCCGCTGGGCGCCCTACTGTGCGCGGGTCCCAGGCAGCTCTCCCCTCCCGGAAGCCGTGTGGTCACCGGGCAGGGGAGGCGCGGGGGAGCGGAGCTGCAGGCAGCGGGCGGGGCGCGGGGCCACAATGACGCCGCTGCCGCTCCTGCTGCCCCGGTGCCCGTGGGGTACACCCGGTCCCCATGAGGTGCTGTGGCCGCCCGGCCAGGCCCGGGTTTGGCGGCTCCGCGGGGACCGATGGCTGGACTGTCCCCCCCCCTGCCCCCCATTCCATCGCTAAGTGGACCCCCAGCCTCCTGGTGTGATGAGCATTGGCCCATTGCACAGACGAGGAAACTGAGGCCCAGAGGTGGCTGCGGACGTGGTTGAGCCCCCGCCCCCCCAACAACAGTAACTACAGCCCGGCCGGTGTGGCTCAGTGGTTGAGCTTCGACCTATGAACCAGGAGGTCAGGGTTCGATTCCCGCTCAGGACACAGGCCTGGGCTGCGGGCTCCATCCCCAGTGGGGGGCGTGCAGGAGGCAGCCGGTCCATGATTCTCCCTCATCATTGATGTTTCTCTCTCTCCCTCTCCCTTCCTCTCAGAAACCAATAAAAATATATTCATAAAATAAAACAAACAAAATAAACTAACCGCATCTGAGCCCGGCCAGCACCTGCTCCGTGTCCGCTCTGCACCCGACGGGGTGACCGGCACCTCCACTTACACTGAGGAAACCGGGGCCCAGGTCCCCCCTCGCTGCATCGACGCAGCCTTGCCGAGAGCTCACGGAGGCAGGCGCCGGGGTGACAGCAAAGACCCGGGGACGCCCCACCGTCCGAGGGAGGCGCCCACACTGAGAGACGGGAGCGATGACCTCACAGACGAAGACGAGGACGAGGGGCCCGGACGCCAAGGTGGTCGGACACAGTCCGTGCACCGACCCGCCTCAGGCTCACCGCACCCCGGGGAACGCTGCGAGGGGACAGGGCTGCGTGTCTGTGGCGTGTGCGTGTGCCTGGCACCCGGCAGGCGCTCGCTGAAGAGCCGCTGAGTTAACCTATGAGGTGGGCGCCGCTATCCCCACTTCACAGAGGAGGAAATGGGTGCTGAGAGGTCAGGACACTCGCCCGCGGTCACGCAGGGAGCCTGGGCCGCCTGGCCTCAGGCCGATTCCCGTAGCCGCTGTGCTACGCCGGAGGCGAGGGCCTCTCACTCAGCTGGTGCTCGGGGATGACCCGAGGGATGGGAAGCAGCTGGCCGGGGCCCAGTGGCTTGTGCAAAGGCCCTAAGGCAGGACCGGCCTGGGAAGCTCAGGGGGCGGACAGGGACCTGGACCGAGGGGCGGGCAGAGGGAGGGAGGGACCTGCCGAGCAGGTGCCTGTCTGATCCTGTCCGCACCATCTCACCCGGCGAGCAGCCCAGAGGCTGTCAGCAAGGGTGACAGACGCATCACCTTTCACCCGCCTGCAGCTTCACGCTGGCAGCCCAGATGGCCCTTAGCGAGGAGGCAAAAACTCAGGGACGCTGGAGCGCCCCGGCAGTGCCTGCAGATGGCGCTGTGTGTCAGAACACTGCCGAACCCCAAATCCTCTCAGCTTTCCCCATTTGCCTCCCCCGACCCCCCACCTGCCAGATGCTGCCATGAGCCATTAGGGCATCACCCAGTTCGCGCCCCGCCTCCCCTGCCCTGTTCTCATGGCCCCATTGTCCAGATGAGCAGACTGAGGCCAGCACTTAGGTCACAGGCCGCTGAGCAGCAGCCTGGGGCCCACACGGATGAAAGGGGATCATCGGGCACCCTCCCGGCTCAACCGCAGGCGTCCAGCTCGGTCCTCCCCAGGCCCCACGGGCTCCCACACCAAAGCCCACAAAGGGCTCTCAGTCCCCCTGCGCTGGCCGCCAGCCCAGAGCCTGAACTCGCTTGGAGAGCCTGCTGGGGGTCTCAGGAGTCGCCCACAATTTGCATGCAAGCTCCCCGGGGTGTGGGGGAGGGGCCTTGGATTCCCCTGCCCTCCTCTCCCCTCCCCTCCCCTCCCCTCCCCTCTCCATTAACCCTTCCCTGCGCCCTGGCTCCCGATGGAGGGAATATGGCCAGTTTCTTGGCTGCAGCTGCCAGACATATACCTGGCCCCCTGCCAGGCCTATGACTCCATCCTCAGCCCCCACGGGGTCCACGGCTCTTGGGGGTGCTGGGTCCAGAGGCCAGGGTGACTGTGCCCCCTGCCACCCCCCACCCCGTGCCGGCGCCGGGAGGGGGACAGGGTGCTCCCAGCGAGGACCTGGCTGCCACTTCCCTTCACCCCCATCTCCCCCCATCCTGCTCAGCCCCTGGCAGCCCCCGGGCCACTGAGGGTGCCGCCCGTCCCCGCCACCCTCACGCACAGTCTCAGCCACAGACCCCCGTCCCCCATCTGGGCGTCAGGCAGCAAACGTTCCACCAACAGGCCATGCGGTGCGAGGCCACGGGCGTCAGAGGCTGCAGCCAGGAGTAGACACTCTGGAGCAGTGGTTCTCAACCTTCCTAACGCCGCGACCCTTTAACACAGCTCCTCATGTGGTGGGGACCCCCAACCATAAGATTATTTTCGTTGCTACTTCATAACTGTAATGTTGCTACTGTTACGAATCGCCATGTAAATATCTAATATGCAGGATGTATTTTCATTGTTACAAATTGAACATCATTAAAGCACAGTGATTAACCACAAAAACAATATGTAATTATAGATGTGTTTTCCGATGGGCTTAGGCGACCCCTGTGAAAGGGTCATTTGACCCCCAAAGGGGTCGTGACCCACAGGTTGAGAACCGCTGCTCTAGAGGCCTGTGGGGAACCTGCCGGCACGCCCCGGCCCCGGCTGGCTGCAGGGCGTGACACCGTGCAGTGAGCTGCGGCCGGGCAGACGGAGACATGGACGTCCCAGACAGACGGCGCAGTGTGGACGGAGGCACACAGGTGGGCAGCAGGTGGCCACCCTGGGACACGAGGGGCTGAGGGTGGTTCCGGGGCCCAGGCCTTTGGGGAAGGATCCGGGGACACGGGGAGAGGGGGAGAGGGGGAGCCTTGGGGCCCAGCGTGGGCATCACCAACCCAGAAAGGAGGAAACCCTGGGGCCCAGGAGGGCACAGCCGGCCGACAGCACCCATCAGCGCGGGCGCAGCGGCCTCAGTCCAGCTAAAGCCAAGGCTGGGCTGGGGGAGCCCCACTGCCTGGCCACCGTCTGGGTGACGCCGGGTGGCACTTACAAAGGGACCCTTCTCCTGACTGGCGGCCGCAGACCTGAGCATCCAGCCAGGACCCCACTCCCCTGGTCTGAAGAGGGCGCGGGAGGGAACCCCCACTCCCCATAAATCCTGGGTGTCTCCCTCTGGGCTCAGGCTGGGATGCGCCATTCCCCAGACGGCCACCAGAGGGCGCCCCGTGTCCACAAACCCGGGGCAAGAGGCAGGCAGGCCGGCTTCTCCCACACCAGGCGGGCGGGTGGGCTCCCTGGGGTGGGGGCTCCCCCAGCAAGGGCAGCGTCCTCTGCTCTCTCTCCCCGGGGCCAGGCGCCAGGGCCCTGCAGTCTCTGGGCTCGAGGCCGGGGAGCCATGTCCTCTCCCCCGCCCCCCTCCCCAGCACATCCGGGTGACCCCTGGGTGCTGGAGAGAGCCCCTGGGAGCAGGGGGAGGAGACGCACCCAGGCTGGGGCTGGGAGGAAAGTGCCTGACCCCTTGCTCCCTCCCCAGGCACCCGGGGTAAACTTCGGAGCTGCACTGGGTCTGAGGGACGAACTTGGCTGGACCGAAGCCCCATCCCCTGACCGTGGCCCCCTGGAGCCTTGCAGGCCTGGGCTGTACGGTCACAGCCCAGAGGGGAAACGGGATGTCCCCAGAGTGTGCACCCCAGGGGGGCGGACCAGGAACCCCCCAGCCCTAAAGAGCAAGGAGGAGGTGGGGTGAAGGTGCCCGATTTCAGAGGCAGGGTGGCTGGGAGACCCCAGCTCCTGGCTGCACCTCTTCGGGTGGCTCAGAGGCTGGGCAGCCAGGCAGAGTGCCCAGAGCATGCTCGTCATCCGGAACCTGTGGCCAAGTCCTGCCGAGTACGGGGTGCAGATGACACCCAAATGCACCCCCCCCTCCCACCCGAAATCCACCTGGAGCTCCCGAATGCCGTGGGAGAGGGGCCGCCAGCACCCCTGCAGGAGGCTGCCCGCCGTGGGGCCAAGGGTCCTGGCGCAGGGAGGGCAGCTGCGGGGCGGGCACCTCAGAAGGGACCTGCTTCACGCATCAGCGCCCTGGCCTGGCCTCCCGAGGAGCCGGGGGTGGCAGACACATCAGTCCGATCTCAATCTCCCAGGTGCAGAGGAGGCTCCAAGCCTGGCGGGCTGCACGGGGGAGGGGGTGTGGAGAGAGGCCACGGCCGCCGCCTCCAGTGCGGCTCCCAAGCCAGTGGGACAGCTGGTGTTGCAGGACGTGGGCGCTGGGGAAGGCGGTGGGGCTGCAGCCGAGCCTGGGACCGGCAGGGGGACCCCATCGCGCTCAGGGCAGGGCCGTGGGGGCGGCAGAGCCAGGCTGGGCGCCCTAACAGTGCAAGCGGGGGTGGCGCAGGGCCAAGAGCATTCCCGGTGTGGGGATGGGGCCGGCTTCCTGGCTCCCCAACCCTCCACCGAGCCAACTCGAGAACCGCCGGCGTCCCGGGCGCCCACACTCCGCAGCCCCGGCCTCTCCTCGGGTGTGGGTGTGCGCCCCTCTCCCGCCCTTCCCGGAACACGCGCGGGGCGCACTGCTCCCCGGGCTGCGACGCCTGTGCCCCCCGCCTGGGACCCCCCCTTCCGGGCCGCTCCGAGCCGGGGATGGGGCTCGGGCCAGGCGACCCCCGCTCCCCTCCCTCCGCGGGCTCCTGCGGCTGCAGCGCGCTCCGAGCACACGGGGCGGGGAGGGGACCGGCGCCTGTTCCCAGACCCGGTGCGCGCGCGTCCCGCACTCAGCCCCGCGCCGCCGGGGCTTTGCTGCCCGGGAAGTGGGTCCAGGGCGCACGATGGTCAGTCAGCCCGCCCGGGAGCGCCGCGCGGCTGCGCACTCACCACCTCCAAGCTGAGGTCCTCGGCGCGGGGAGCGGGCGCGGTGCGGCCCCCGCAGGCCGCCAGCACCAGCAGCACCAGCGGCAGCGGCGGCGGCGGGACCTGCGTCCAGGGGCGCGGCGGCCCGGGCATCGCGATCGCAGGGCGGGCGGGCGGGCGGCGTGGAGGTCCCCGCGCCCCGCGTCCCGAGTGCCCCGCGCGCCGCTCCCGGCCGACTGAGCGGCCCAGCGGAGGGGCGGGGGCGGGGCATGCTAATATATGCTAATATTATCGCCCTGGCGCCCCGCCCACATCCTTAAAGGGCCCGCGCCTAGCGGCCCGCTCCCCGCGGGGATGTTCGGAGCCCCCGCGCCCGCCGCGCGTCCCCCAGGGGCGGGGCTGCGGCGCCCGAAGGAAGGAGTTTGCCTGGTGCCCCCACCCGGTCCCGTGCGCGTGGGCGCGGAATCCGGGGTCCGGGCCACCCCTTCCCCAGGAGACCCCGGCTCCCGCCCGGACCCCGCGCGGCAGCCGCACGCCTAGCGACCGCGAGGTGGCGCCCCTGCACCGCAGTGGAAGGGCTGGAGGTGGGTGGCGGGAGCGGTGGGGTCGGGGCTGGGGGCTGAGGCCCTGAGGGGCTGAGGTGAGCGAGGGAGGGGAGGGGGGCCGGGTGGAAGTTTGGGGGCGGCGGGGTCAGCTGGGGAGGGTCTGAGGTCACCGTGGGTTTGGGCAGGGGCATAGCTGACCTGTTGGTAGTGCGTGTGTGTGTCGGGCGCATGCTCAGAGCCTCCCGTATTGAATCGCATTCTCTTCTCACAACATCTGGTTAAAACTGCGATTCCCACGGGGAGACGAGGCCCAGAGAAGTTAAGGAACTTGCTGGAGGTCACGGAGCCCAAGGGTCTGGGGCAGGCCGTGCGGGGTTGCCATGTCCCAGTGCAGACCCACCCCTCACATTGGGTTTCCTCTCTCTCCCTTCACCCCGTGGTCAGTTGGTGTGTTAGGATTGCAGTCCCATTCTACAGACAGGGAAACCGAGGCCCAGGCCCTTCCACTGAATCCTGGTCTCCCAATCTGAGGGGCTGGGGGCTGGGTTCCAGGCAGAGTCCCCTCCTCACGCCCGCCCCCCCTTCCTGTCCCTGCCCCTCCCAGAGCCTGGGCCTCGGCAGCCCCTTCGGGAGATGGCGCACCTGCCACAGAAAACCGTTCTGCGCCCTGGCCTCCGTGTCGCTCCCCGAGCACATCCCCGCAGGTTGCTCAGGTGCGCGCGTTGGGACAGCGTCGCTGCCAATGGCAGAAACCCAGCTCGCACTGGGCGTCAAAGAAGGAAACTGACAGGCACCTTACGCTGGGACATCCCCGGGCACGCTGACGTCAGGTGAGGCTGGATCAAGTCGCTCCATCTCAGCGTGGGCTGCATCCTCGGGCAAGATTCCTCCAAAAAGCAGCAAAGATGGTGCCGGGCAGCTCCCCCCCCCCCCCCCCCCCCCGCATCCACCCAGCTCGCTCGGCAAGCCCAGCCGCAGGCCAGGGGCCCTCTGTCATTGGGTCACATGTGCTGGGGAGACCGAGTGCACGGACCTGGGAAGGAGGGGTTTGCTAACATGGAAGTGGAGGGCCAGGCAGGCCTGGCACAGTGGCTGAGCGTCGACCTATGAACCAGGAGGTCACGGTTCGATTCCCAGTCAGGGCACAGGCCCGGGTTGCAGGCTCGATCCCCAATGGGGGGCGTGCAGGAGGCAGCCGATCCATGGTTCTCTCTCATCATTCATGTTCCTCTCTCCCCCCCTCTCTGATATCAATAAAAATATTGTTTACAAAAAGGAAGTGGAGGTGCTGAGGCCTGAGGCAGGGAGGTGGGTGGCAGGCAGGGCTGGGTCAAGGGGTGCAGGGGAGGCACCCGAGTCCCCCGTGGACCGGTTCTGCCTGCATCCGGGACTGAGGGGACGCTGGCTGAGGCGCCGTAGGAGGCACTGTGGCGGGACCAACCTGAAGGGCGCTGACAGTGGCCTGGGGTCACGAACATAGGAAGGGCCTCACCCCAGCTGGTGTGCTCTGTGGATAGAGCGTCAGCCTGGGGACTGAAGGGGCCCAGATTCAAATCCAGTCAAGGGCATGAACCTCGGTCGCAGGCTCCACCCCCTGTCCTGGTCTGGGTGTGTGCAGGAGGCAACCAATCGAGGAGTCTCTCACATCCGTTTCTCCCCCTCCCTCCCACTCTCTCTAAAAATCAATGGGAAAATATCCTCGGATGAGGATTAAAGAAAAAAAAAACAAATAGACACAGCAGGGACCTACAGGCAGGGTTCTCCCCAGACAGGCCTGGAGGGGGGCTGAGAGCGGTGCGGGGGCCGAGGACGTCGGGGGCTGAGGACGCGGGGAGGGACTCTGTGGCACCGGGTGGGGTCCCCTTCGAGCCACCACTCAATTCTGGGGTTTGAACGTGGCCAGAAGCCAAGCCCCGAGGAGGCTGCTTTGCTCCCTCCGATGGGCGCTGGTGAAGGCGTGTGGCACATGCCGGCCCGGGGGGGGGGGGGGCGCACAGGGAGCAGGACCAGCTGGTACAGCCTCGCTTGCAGGCCCCTGGGGAACCGATTAAAATTTAAGTGCATTTTCCAGGGCCCAGCGTTCTCGGCGTGCGTGCGCCCTAGAAAAGCACGCTGGTCTTCGCACGAGAAGGCGAACACACGCTGCGACAGTAAAAAAGATGAGAACCTGCTCCCGGGCCATCCGGGCCCTGCACGGTGGTGCTGGCTGGGCCGTGGCTCCTGGAGGGGCCGTGTCCCACTGGAGAAGCAAGAGCGCTATTTCCTTTTACTTTTTAAATGTATTTTTATTGATTTCAGAGGATGGGAGAGAAACATCAATGATGAGAGAATCATCGATTGGTCACTGCCTGCCACAGGCACCCCTACCCCCGCCCCCCACTGGGGATCGAGCCCACAACTGGGCCTGTGCCCTCACTGGGAATCGAACCGTGACCTCCTGGGGCCACCTGCCCTCTGCTCAGCGGCCGAGGCGCCGTGAACACACCCCAGTCGGGGCCCTGAGCCAGCGAACCCACCTGCTGGGCACACACCAGGGTGTGCACACGTGACGGCGTGCGATCCAGTGACAGACGACATGTGTGAACACACAAGCCACACAAGCAAGGAGCTGCCAGTCGGTAGCTAGAAAAGGTGTTTTCTTCCCATTTTATTGATAATACATTTTCACAGAAACATGATATTATTTACAAATATACAGGTAAGAGACTGCTGGTCAAAAATCTTAAACTGAAATTGTCATCAAAAATGAATGTACAAAACCCGCCCCTGTCCACGGACCCCGGGCAGTGGCGATGGCTCCGTGCGGCCCGAGCCGAGGCCCCGGCCGCCGGGCGTCTCAGGAGGCGCTGGTCTGCATGTTCTTGGAGGCAGCGAGCATCGCTCGGACTTTGGCCATGAGGTCCTGTGGGAGGAGAGACAGAGGGACTTCTGGGAGCTGCACCGAGACCCGGAGGTGGGCCCTTGGCGGGCAGTGACTTATGGAAGCTGGCGGGCGGAGGCGGAGGACGGCCTGGGAAGACGGGTGTGGCCGAGCAGTCCCCGTGCGGGCGGCAGGCTGCCAGGTCACCCCCGGGCGAGGCAGACACCCCCAGCTTGAGGCGACCAGTGGGACCCGCCAGCCCCGTGAGAGGAGGATGTGGAGGCGGCGGACGCCCTCTCACCTGAGTGATCTTGCTCTGCACAGAAGACACGATGGCCGAGGAGATCTGCCCCTCCTTCTCCTGAGACACGCCCCTGAGGCAAACAGGTCAGAGCTTCACTCAGACGCCAGCGAGAGCCGGCACACGCCGCCCTCAGAGCCACCCTCAGGCCCGGGGACGCGGTGGGCGCTGCTGGCTGGCCAAGCTCGCGACCACCAGTGTGGACGCAGTCCTCACCGCGGCCTGAGGTCTGGAGTGAGGGGTGTGGTTGGGGCCCCACCCAGATGCCGAGTGAGGACAGGAGCGTCGGGTGCTGGGAGGCATGGGGAGCGACTGTGCCCACCCCGGGGACCAGCGGGAAGCCCCTCCCTGCGTCTGAGGACTGTCCGTCCTGTGGATGTGGGCGGCCCACCCCCCACCCACCCCGTCACGGCTGACGCCAGGAGAACCCCCTCTGTGACTCTGCTGCGGGGTGCGGGGGGGGGGTGGTGCGGGGAGCGGGTCCTGAGGTTACCTGGAGCGCTCCTGGCTGGAGCCCCGACTCTCCACGGGAGAGATGCTGGCCGAGTGGGCGGAGTGCCGGCGCGGGGCCTGCTTGCTGGGGGACGCTGAGCGGGACTCGGCCTTGGACTTGGTCCGCGACCGCGAGCGCCGCTTCTTCTTCTTCTCGTGGGGGCTTCTGGAAGGAGCGTGGGTTCAGACACAGGCCGTTCCCTTCACAGCCGCACACGCTGAGGGCACCGACCCGCAGGGCCTGCCCACTCGCCCATCGGCTCTCCGTGCAGACGCCCAAGGAAGCGCACCTGCTGCCCGCCCGCACGGCCACCTGCGCCGACTCGAGGATTCGCAACCAACATCGCAGCTCTGAAAGCCGGGCACGCTCACCGCCCGGGCCCAGTGCGGGCTCGGCATGTCACCTGGGGGCAGCACCCACCTCCCACCTCTGACCCCGCCGCAGGTCTCACTCACTCACCCTGCCTTCCCCCCCGCCCCCCCCCCCCCCCCCCAGGGAGGACCAAGAAAGAAACAAGGTCCCAAGGGCACCGAGCCCTTCCTGGTCTCCCACCCCCAAGAGACCACCACCTGCCTCTTAGGAGCCCCACCCCCACCCCCCTATTTTGTGCAGCGTCTGCGCAGAGACTTGGGAACATGCCGGTCAGAGTCCCGGCGCTGTCCAGCACCCAGGTCACCACCGCCGGCCTCCAGGGCTCAGGGTGGCACTACCCCAGAGCAGTGCTCTGTCCCAGGTGTGGCTCCCGCCCTGCACACTGCCCCTCCACCAGCAGCCAGGCAGCGCCCTGTCACATGTCCACGCCCACTGGCCACTCCCACAGGGCTGGTGCTGCTCCTGGGCACAGGCAGGCTGCGGGCACCGGCAGGGCCAGGATCACGTGGAGAGTGGCGCCCAGCCCTGACAGGCGTGGGACGTGCACGCAGGCTCAGCACTGAGCGGGCTCGCCGTGCAGTG